TTGCAGTAACTTTAACATGAAGTCGGAGGATGCTATAGAATGTGAGTGAAATGTCCTGAGGGACCTGAGTTGGGATCTCAAGGAACTAGCTGACATGTATGGGGAAACTGCCTCTTTTCCTCAGTGTAGAACAGCATAGGGAGGTCTCTTCGGGTCCAAAAACCTAATGAAATTATTCTTATTATCAGTTGTTGTTTATTGAACACCTACTATGTGCCAGGCACTGTAAATAAGCACTCTGCCCATAATAATCCTTTTTAATCCTTCTAGAAACTCTGTAAAGCAGATACGATTATCCCATTTTGCAGGTGAAGAAAAGTAGTGTGGAGATACTAAATGACTGCTTCCGAGTGGCACAGCTATAGCCATTGGAGCAAAAATTTGAATCCACACGCATCTAACTTCTGACTTGCCTGAAGAGTTTATCATTCCCTGGTGTACAGACTGCTGGCCCACCAAGGGTTTTCACTGTGATTCCAAGTGCCAGACAAAGACTTGGGGGAAATGGTTACAAATTTAACTTTAATTTTATACCTTATCTCAGCCACTTGATTCTCCTCTGAATTCCATCACTGGATTTATATTGAGTACATTTCACAAGTCTATACTCTTAATAGTTTTAATATTCGATTGCTGTTTGGTAAGAATAAGATGTTTTCAGTTAATTGATTTATTTTACTTTATTTTATTTATTTATTTTATATTTTTGTGGCATGCGGGATCTTAGTTCCTGGACCAGGGATCGAACCCGCACCCCTGAAGTGGAAGCGCAGAGTCTTAACCACTGGACCGCCAGGGAAGTCTCTCATTTGTTTACTGTTAATACCCTGCCTACTTATTTTTTTTTTTTTGAGGACAGGCAAGAGGATTTTTTTAATATTAATTGAATTTTTAATTTAATTTTTATTTTATATTAGAGTATAGTTGATTTACAATGTTGTGTTAGTTTACAGTGTACAGCAAAGTGATTCAGTTGTACATACACATATATCCATTCTTTTTCAGATTCTTTTCCCATATAGGTTATTACAGATTATTGAGTAGAGTGCCCTGTGCTATAAATAGCACGGGATAAATTAGGAGTTTGGGATTAACATGTCCACACTACTATATATAAAAGATAATCAACAAGGACCTTCTGTGTAGCACAGAGAACTCTACTCAATACCCTGCCTGCTTTGAAAACATTTCAGAGGACTTTCGGTACCAAAAAGATACTCCCCCAAACAAACCCCTTAAGGCACGAGCAGAAGAGCAGAAGTGGCAAGTTGGACGCAGAAACCAGGCCCAGTCACAAATGCAAGGTGGTGGTGACCTCTCTCGTATTAACAGAAAACCTGCCAAATAAGGAAAACAAGGCTATCTTATCCTATCAATGTCTTGAAAGTTAATGCTTTTCATAATCAGAACATTTAAGGTAAAATTACAATTTTGCTTTTTTTTACTTCATCACCATCTTTGAATGTAAGATCGTTTTTAATTGTTGAAACAACATAATATCATCATTTGCCCAGAAAATATCGGAGGAAAACAGCCATCGGCCTATCCTCCAACTACAAATGCAAGAATTTCTGTGTTTTCCCGTTTGCTCTTCTTCAGAAAATGAATTTCTCCCCGTTTTCCCTAGCTGTACACATAGCCAGCATGCCAGGCTGTCTCCTGCTTTCAGTGACATAAGTCTTTTCCCTGTTGCAACAAACTTCTCATAATTATCATTTGACTGAGCACATAACATGCCATTGTTTTAAATTTATTTATTTTTACTTTTATTTATTTTTGGCTGCGTTGGGCCTTTGTTGCTGCGCACGGACTTTCTCTAGTTGCGGCGAGCGGGGGCTACTCTTCGTTGCAGTGCGTGGGCTTCTCATTGCGGTGGCTTCCCTTGTTGCGGAGCATGGGCTCTAGGCGCGTGGGCTTCAGTAGTTGTGGCGCATGGGCTCAGTAGTTGTGGCTCACAGGCTCAGTAGTTGTGGCACATGGGCTCAGTAGTTGTGGCTCACAGGCTCTAGAGCACAGGCTCAGTAGTTGTGGCGCACGGGCTTAGTTGCTCCGCGGCATGTGGGATCTTCCCGGACAGGGCTCGAACCCGTGTCCCCTGCATTGGCAGGCAGATTCCTAACCCCTGCGCTGCCAGGGAAGCCCTTTTTTTAAATTTTTTTATTTTTATTTTGTTTTATTTTTGTAACGTGCCATTTAATAGATGCAGCGCAGTATCATTTCTCTGTTGGCAGACATCTGAGTCACTTCTTATTTTATAGCACAGATAAGACTTATAATGAAAAATTATCTCAACTTTCAGTTGAATAATAATTTATAATTGTATAATTTATATATAAATTATATGACAATAATTTATAGTCTATTTCACTAAAGATGTCCTATATGCACAAAATAAGCTCCTTGAAGTCAGGGACACTGTACGTTTCAGTTTTCTTTTACCCGTAAATATAGTGGCTTGAAAATATTATGTGCTTTCTCAGTCATTTCATGAATAAATACATCTGTCTTATTACAGGTAGCATCTGTAACTCAAAAGTAGCTGAAGTAGATGGTCACTGATGTCGCTCCTAAGTTGGAAAGTGTATGAGTAGTGTTAGACCAGCCTCAAAAAGCTTAAAATTCAAATACTGAAAACAAGGGTCTAAAACAGCCCTTTAAGAAATGAGCATATTCGGCGTCGGGCTGGGGGTCCATGTCAGGGTGCAGCCGTTCCCTCCCCCTCCTGCCGCCCCCCCCCCACCCTGTCCTCGTTGTCCTGCCATTTGGAGTTTCAAGCACAGAGAGATGTGATGTCTGTTGATAATCTGAATAAAATCCATGCAGTAAACGTGTGAGCCGCCCATCCATGGGCAGAAAGGGGCCCTTCCCTGGTGCTGTGTGTAATTTTGAATGCATCTGTGAGCTCACTTAAAGCTCATCTGTACCCACACGGCCGCCTCCAGCCCAGTCAGGTGCTCAGAGCAGCCGGGTGGGGCACGGGGTGCAGAAAAGCACCTCTTTTAAACATTAGGAATGATTTTTTTTTTCCATCAGCCCATGATTACTCAAGATGTAGGACCATCACAACTCTGAGAATCTCCGATTTTTTAATTTACTCATGGGAAGTTTCTTTTTCCTGTAAAAGCTAAAGTATATATTAGTGTTGTCTTGGAATAGTTGGTATTTTTTCAGCAAGCTCGAATCTGCACTATTTATGGGTTTTGCACTATGAAACACTGCAGCCCAGTCACGTGACTCCTTTTTCCTAAGCCATCTGTCACAGAGGTCTGGAATTTTATGTGAATGTTGGTTGTGCAGTCTTAACCCAAGTTTTTTTATTTTTTTACGAAAAATGTCAGCAGCTACAATATTTAGCATTTTACTTTACATTGGCCATTAAACTTGATAGCTGTAGCTCTGTTTCTTTTCTATAGTCACGTATCAGTTTTGAAGCCAAAAATTGCTTTGATGTACTCCTGGCAGAATGCATTGTATCATGGAGAGAGCACGTAGCACTGATATGGTTAATATCTTGGATTTTTGTAACTAAGGTTTATTAATGCTGGTATAAAAACGTATTTGATATTATACAGATGGCATAAGATGTGGTGGTTACTAAGTTATTATCCCGGATAAGCTGTACTGTGAAATTCAGGGCTTAAAACTATCACAGGAGATTAAACTATTTACTGAAAAGGACAGAAAGATATGACCAAACATCTTAGTACAAATATATTAGAAGCGTATTTACCTCCCACAAATATAATAGGGCATTTCTACCTCATAGGCTGAGAGATTGAGAATAGGAACTTTGCAGGTCAAACAAGCAAACAGAAGAGATGCTTTTATTTTTTAACTCAGGCGGCCGCTACGGTGGATCACATCTCAGGGGGAACTGCTGGGGAGGGGGTATGGGTGCAGTGTAAATGGGGAGTTAAAATAAACCCCTGGGAAGTAACCGTTAGGGATCTTAGGAGCATATTCAGAGAAGACTTCTGCTTTGCCGGCCAAAAGGAAAAGAGAAGAGACATTGTCCAGAAGCTAATTGTGAATTGATGGATGACAGTGACAATGCCGCTCGGGTATTCATTTGACCCACTTGCGAGGGTGGCGAGCTCGTTCACCCCGCCTTCTGGGAGTTACTGCCCGGTGGTGTTCATGGTTCAGGGCCACGTACGCCATCCTCGGGCACATGAGTTGTGGAAGGTCCAGGGCACGTGGGGACTTTGTTGGCACTTGAACCTTAGAAAGAAAATGAAGCTTAGCCAAAGGTCTCCCGAAGAGAAACACCGTGAGGTAGAATTAAAGTCTCATACTGAGTATCTGGAAGAGAATCACCTTTATTCTGGAGTTTTCACTGTAGAACTTACCCCCTGCTGCCCGCCCCGTCCTGTCATGTGACACCTGGTACCTCCACTCCAGGCCCCCAGGGGAACTTTGGTTTACACTGCCCGCCTCCCCCAACACGCCCGCCATGAGTTAACCAAGCTTTTCTGGCGCAAGGCGCCCAGGGTAAAATGTCACTTTCATACTAATCTAATATAGTTCTCATATTTCCCAGTAAAACGTCTCTTCCAGCTGGTTATTTGTGCGTGTTTTTCACGTTAGATTAATATTGTGATGGGGGAAGAATATTGTGCCTCTTTATAAACTCAAGTGTTAATGCTTCAGAGGATGAATTGGGAGTGATAATTCTGCAAACTAGAAAGGAAGGTTTAAAGCTAAACTTGGGGGGGAAAAAAAGGATAAAACAGGTTTAGCCAGTACATTTAGTATTTGGACCATCTTATTTATATTAGGCTTACTTTGTTTAAACCCAGAAACACGAAGCTCACTAATGGGGCTGCTCTGAAAAGTCTGCCTAAGAATTGAACATTAACCAAAGCAAATCGGAAAGCTAGATTTAAAATCAGATATACTTACATAAAAGCTTGCATTTAAAATGATCCCTTAAAAGCCCACATGGCTAGGCTACCACTGCAAACTGCTTAAATGTTTTTCTGTTTCCTATTGTATACCAGGGAGCCGAGATAGAAGTGGATGAAAATGGCACATTGGACTTAAGCATGAAAAAAAACCGCATCCTGGACAAAGCTGCACCCCTAACTTCCACTAACCCTTCTGTTCCAACTGCTTCCTCTTCCCCATTCAAAACCAGCAGCCTGTTGGTCAATGCCGCCTTCTACCAGGCCCTCTGTGATCACGAGGGCTGGAACACGCCTATCAACTATAGCAAAGCTCACGGGAAGACAGAGGAGGAGAAAGAGGTATTGTTTCAATGTGGCCGATAAGCTTGAGACGGAGCGTGCTCGAAGGGTGTGGTCAGCGTTTTCCTCCTGGATTAAATCTCACAATCCCGTGTAGATAATACGTAATTCTGTACCTTGTTTTTGATTTTGGTAAAACGTTGGTTTTAAATTTCAGGAGGAATTTATAAATGAATCCAACGTTTCCCATCCCTTGCCTAAAACAATATGTCATTAGAGTGCCTTGTACCCCCATGACGGCTGAATAGCATGCGCTGCGTGAGAGGTGGCGTCATCTCTCCCTCGGACACGGCAGCCTGTGAGGGGCAGGGTGTCACTCAACACCAAGCCGCCAGCCTCCGTGTGCTCCGCACCGGATGCCGGAACACGAGAACGAATCGGGGGCAAGGACGCATCTCGTCAAATTCCCTTCCGTGGTTTCGTGGAGGGATGGTGTTGGCATCCCCGTGTGCAGAGCCGTGGTCTGGGGACTGATCGTGGACGCGGGATGTCTCAGCCACGGCAACTCCAGAGTTGTGGGCTGGGTTATCCTTGGAGGTGGCTTCACCCCTGGAAGCCAGATATTGTGGCCGTGCAGGAATTCATCAGCCCACATCTCACAGCTGGAGCGCCCTGGCTGGGTCTGATTAGCCTTGACTCAGTGTCATTCAGAAGAGTTCATGGCCACACCCTCCACTGGTTAGACGCAGTGACATTGCAGATGTGACCCCAGCTTTACTGTAGGTGATTCTGTTTGTCAGGGAAGTGGTTTGTCCTTGCCGGTTGACGTGTTTAAAGAACTGAAATAGACGTTGGAAAGTGTGCATCATCACCTTTTACAGTTGTGTGAAGCTCAGAGACTTTGGTGGAAGACTAATTTGATTTAGCATATGCTTTTTATTGAAGTATAGTGGATTTACAATATCACGTAAGTCTCAGGTAGAGCACAGCGATTCAGTTATACGTGTGTGTGTGTGTGTGTGTGTATGTGTTCTTTTTCAGATTCTTTTCCCTTATAGGTTATTACGTAATATTGAGTATAGTTCCTTGTGTGATTTTTAGCATCTACTTTAACGTCTCAGGGCATGAGTCAATGTCAATGGCAGTGATGACAAGACTGGGCTGTTTCCTGTTTCCCTTCTTTCCTTCCCTCCCTCCCATCCTCCCTCCGCACACTTTCACCGTGATCCCCACGTCCAGGCAGTAAGATCGGTCCTGAGGATGCAGCACCACCTGGCACACGCTTCCTGCCCACGCTTCCTGCACGTGCTTCCCACCCACGCTTCCTGCACGTGCTTCCTGCACACGCTTCCTCCACACGCGTGCTCAGTCTGGTAGAAGGACCAACCTGTAACCAAGCTCACGGACCAGTGAGTAGCTAAGCAGGCACGCAGAGTAGACGGGAGGGCCGGAGGAGCCCCCAGGACCCAAGGCAGGCTCTGTGTCACCACTGGCCACACCATCACGGGGAGGGTGGGGGGACTGACACAGCAGCAGCTTCAGGTTGGAGTCTGCCATACAGGGTATAGTCATTGTCATTCTGCTTGGCTTTTAAAAATTCACCCAAGGACTTCCCTGGTGATGCAGCGGTTAAGAATCCACCGGCCAATGCAGGGGATGTGGGTTGGAGCCCTGGTCCAAGAAGATCCCACATGCTGCAGAGCAACTAAGCCTGTGCGCCACAACTACTGAGCCTGTGCTCTAGAGCCCACGAGCCACAACTACTGAGCCTGCGCTCTAGAGCCCGCAATCCACAACTACTGAGCCCGTGTGCCACAACTACTGAAGCCTGTGCGCCTAGAGCTCGTGCTCCGCAACAAGAGAAGCCACTGCAATGAGAAGCCCGCACACTTCAACAAAGAGTAGCCCCCGCTCACCGCAACTAGAGAGAGCCCACACACAGCAACGAAGACCCAATGCAGCCAAAAATAAAATAAATAAATAAATTTATTAAAAAATATTCACCCAAGTATTTAGGGATGGTCTTAGTTAATCTATCATAACGCTCTTTTAGAAGAACTGTTTCTTAAATCATATACATTTGACTCTAATAAATATAAAACTGACCCTGCAACGTGTAAGAAACTGCTTCGCCTCAGGTGGTGACCGTGAACCGGTGAGTGTGCATCTCTGCCCTCTTTCATGTCCCCGGCTGCTTCAGCTGTGCAAAGTCACAGAAGTTACACCTAACTTACGTCATCATACAATCCAGAAATCTGCCGGTATTCGCATTAGCGATCTCTCAGCACGCAGGTCTGAGATGGAAGTCAGGAGGCAGGGGGAGTGGGCTGAGAGCAAGTTTGTTGATTCGGTCCAGTCCGTGCACATCAGCTCCCGAGACGGGGGATGCCCCTGGTCCACGAGACTCCCGATTGCCAACCGGGCCTATTCCACTCCCCACAGGGGGACCTAATGGCAGTTACGAGGCCTGGAGGTAGAGGTCCAGTCAAAGGCACGTGGCATGGAGGACGGTCCCTTCCGGATAAGCATCACGGCGTCCCTGTTCCTGGGCGATCCAGCTGGAAGGGAACCCCCCCGTGTTGGGGAGTCTTGGTGCTGCATGCAGGAGCTTAGACTTTCTGTCCTCACCCCTGCGAGCCCGCTGTACACAGGCCAAGGTCACCGTTGACAAGCAGTCTCCTTTCTGTTCACCAGTCAGGGGTCCAGTCCAGTCCCGACCAGTAACGAAGCATAGTGGGTTCTTGTTCCCTTCAGGGTGTTTGTGTCATTTGACATCGGTTTTAAGTTTGTGCAGCGATGTCTACAGGGTAACCCTCGTATTCTGGGACACTCCTGCTGCTTGGGGGTCTAGTGAGCACCTCAGGGACCTCCTTGTATGTACTTCTTATCCCTCAGATCACCAGAAAATTCAGTCTCATGACAAATATTCTCTCTTTATCAAAACATGTGGATTCATCCAGGCGGCTTTATGGATTCAGCTGGAGTACGTTCCTATCTAAGGCTGATGGACCTGTGACAGTGTTCAACGTGCCAGCAAAATCGTGGGGGAGATGATTTGTTTAGATTAGATTTCTGCTCCTTCCAGAATGGCTTGCCTCCTTCCGGTCTGATAGTGTAGACTCACTGCTGCAAATGGCAACCTAAGTATTCTGACGTCTGGAATTGACAAGCTAAGTGGAAATTCAGTGTTACTGAGAGCAGCAAAGAGGACTTTGGAGACATCAACTGAGTTCTTGGAGTCCAAGTGCTTGCACTAGGGTTTTTGTTTTTTGTTTTTTGTTTCTTTTGCGGTACGCAGGCTTCTCACTGTTGCGGCCTCTCCCGTTGCGGAGCACAGGCTCCGGACGCGCAGGCTCAGCGGCCATGGCTCACGAGCCCAGCCGCTCCGCGGCACGTGGGATCATCCCGGACCGGGGCACGAACCCGTGTCCCCTGCATCGGCAGGTGGACCCTCAACCACTGCGCCACCAGGGAAGCCCTGCACTAGGTTCGAGTTGACAAATATGGTTTCAGCCTAACGCCTATTGTCACGGTCTGAACGTGGGTGGTTCATTGCTGGGGCGCTGTCCCCGCGGGGGCACACACAAAGGTGCTTCTGAACCCCTGTAACTCCTGGGGCAGCTTCTCACCCTTGTTCTTTGTGCTTTCATCCGTGCCAAGGTAATTTACCAATAGAGAGTATTTTTCACATTTTGTTCTGAATCCCTAAATGAAAAATGTGATACTCGATAGTTATTATTTTGAAAAAGTAGATTGTATTCAATGTCGTCGTTGGGAAGGTAGCAGAGGGAGGCCATGTTGAGTAAGAATAAAGATTAAAGATCTTTTTAAACAGCATCTCATTATCCTAACAGTTTTGAAAAGCAGGATTATTATCAAAGTTTCTAGAGGAGAAAATTGAGGCTTGCCGGGGTAAAGTTGTTCTTTGGTCATATAGAAAATAAGTAATGGGCCTGGGCTTCCCTAAAATGAAGAAAAGGGAGAGGGAGAAAATGGAGAAAAGGAAAAGAAAAAAGTACACAGGGAAATGGAGACAGCTAGGAAATATTGAGAAAAAGCAGGAAGGAAAGGAGCAAGAGAATAATGAAGCAGTGTTACTTGGCCAGGTGTGTGCTGGAGACCACAGTGGTTTTGGTGCTTCTTAGGATGGCAGGACCGGACCAGAGCCCCTGAGCCCGGTTACAGGAAGTGACTCCACGTGACCACACAAACCAGGGACGGATGGTCCTGACTGTCCTTCCCGTGAGCTCTGCAGAGACGCAGCTCGGGGCCCCAGCGGTGCTCTGTGAACATGGACTGTTCCCACCTCCCCAGCCCCGCACATCCCACATGAGACTCACACCCGTTGCCACGACCAGAAACTGGGCGATTATTTCCAATTCATTGTTATCTAGTTCATATGCACAACAGTTGCCTCATTTTGGTGGTAATTTTCAGAAAATATTGTCTGTCTCTCTCAGTGAAATAGCCTGTCCAGATGCCCTCTAAAAACAAAATCCTGAATCTGGAAAAACCTCAAATTATCTCAAAAGGAAAGCGCTGAGAAATAACTAGGCCTGTCAGTTTCATTCAACTGTCAGTTCTCCAAAGATTTCAGGGCTTCAAATGTTAAAAGTGCCAGATGCTATTATCTGTTATTCATGTTCCCATTATGTTCTGGTCTTTACTGAAATCTATATAAACTTCTGTCTGTACATTAAAGGAATTTCATTGCACCCATATACTCTCTAAACACACACATATATATGTATGCCACATTTTCTCTTTATGTCTCCCCAATATAAATTTATTATTTTCAAAATGATACTTTAAATGTTGAAAAAATTCTGACAAATGATGTTGGCATATTTTTATGGTGTGCCATTTAGGAGTTTATCCAATATACAATATGCTTCTGTAACAAAATTCAGCATTCTTATAGTGACGGTCACCTGTATTTTAATACCTGTGCTCTCTGCAAGCTTCTAGAGGTAGAATGCTGAGCAAAAACAAAAGGGAAAAAGACCACTATTTCATAATGCAATCACATACCCAAGAGTCCATAGTTTTTAAAAGAAGTTACAAAATATTTAAAAGGTCATATCCAATAAAATTATCCTACCGAAACATCAGCACATACCACTGTGATAAGTTAAATACCATATATTCTGCAAGCATTAATTTTGAATGCATTTGAGTCAAATAAGTTAAACTTTCATAGTTGATCATTTCTTTCAAAATCCCTTATTCCCTTGTCTTCCATAATGTGCAGATTCAACAAACAACAGCTAATGACCTTTATGTGTTCATCTGTACATGCCTCCTTAGAGATACTTTGCTCTCGTTCATCGCAAAGAAAATAATAAAATAGCTCCTTTTCACTTTATGCCATTTTTGTGAAAAATTCAGCATCTGAACAGAAAAACAAAAGCTGTTCCACACTGAGACAAAATTGGATTTGTCATTTGTATCGACTTTCAAAAGGCCAAGTCGTTTGTAAATTATAGTGGAAAACACCACCCGGGCTGAATCCAGGTAGCTCCAAATGAAACGGAAGGTGGTGCTAATGCTTCGCTTTAGGCATTTACGCTGTGAAACGTGAAAAGGATAAGCATAATTCAGTTCTTTTCTATAGATTCCACGGAAGCCCTTCTCTTCTACCTTAGTAGACAACTCTCAGCAAACACCTATTTCTCTTTAGTTTTCAGGAGTGTATTATTATCTGCTACTATTTTCAAACACTGATCAATAATGTAAAATGGAATACTCAGTATTAAAAATAATATGAAAGAAGAAATTAGACCAAACCGTGTTTTATTAATTTGGTCTGAAGATAATGTTACTTGAGGTCGTGTAAACGTATTTACCACTGTGTGGTCCTATGGAAAATAATTGATTGAACTGTTATCCAAGTAATTAATGAAAGAGATTGCATTTGCCTTTATGACTGAGATGAAGACTTAAGAGTTTTTCTTTGTTTGGGAAAATCCAGGGATTTTGTTTTTCCACTGATTTTGGGTGTAGACTCAGGATTATTAAAATTGTATTTGCCCTTGCAATTTCATATTCATTTGATTTAAATGAGATTTACCTTGAATAACTCAAAATTGTTTTCTCACCTTAAATGGATCAGTACTTTTGAGATTTAGGAGACAGTTTTTTTATATTAGTTAATCTGATTTTAATATTAAATCCAGAACGTATTATATTTACTGGATATAAACTTAATGATAAAAGTAAGCTAATTATGTGACTGAATAAAACCGTCATTAGTTTTCTGTAAGATAATATATCAGATGGTAAATAAATGATTTGAAAGGATCAATGAGATTTCCTTATGAAATCAGGATCAGTACCAAGCTTAAAATAAGGCCATGAAAATAATTAGTGATAACCCAACAAGAGATTCCATCCAATGAGTAAAACCATTACAAAATGCCAACTTAGCAAAAGAGGTAGTTTAAGGAAAACAGGAAGTGATGTGAGACTAAAAGCAATTATCCAGAAAAATCAAACTAAATGTTGCCTAGATATTGTGGACTCGGTGATTACATATTTAAACAAACAATTTAAATCTTAATTATCTGCTTATCAGAAAGGACATTCTGGGCTTCCCTGGTGGCGCAGTGGTTGAGAGTCCGTCTGCCGATGCAGGGGACACGGGTTCGTGTCCCGGTCCGGGAAGATCCCACATGCTGCGGAGCAGCTGGGCCCGTGAGCCATGGCCGCTGAGCCTGCGCGTCCGGAGCCTGTGCCCGCAACGGGAGAGGCCACAACAGTGACAGGCCCGCGTATCGCCACAAAAAAAAAAAAAAAAAAAAGAAAGGACATTCTCCTAGCCTAAATTTACTTCTTCCTTCTCTGTTTGAAAATATGTGTGATTCATTTTTTGCAGTGTTTCTTTTACCAATGACTGCTGTGTGCATAAAGAACTCTTCCTATGTTCTCTACAAAATGTTTGCTATGCTGTAAAACTTAAAATATATTAAAATATTAACTTATTTACATAGCTCAAGAAATACCTCTGTAGTTATATTTGCCAAAATGCAAACTTTCTAAAGGTGTGCCCGTGAGTTATAATTCCTCATTCTTCACCGAGCATAAATGTCCATAGCAGTCCAGATCTACCCTTATACTCATTATCTTATTTATTTTGTGTACAAATCCGATGAGGGATGTCATCTAAGTCTTGAAGCCAAAACTCAAATTTGACCCCAATGACTTCAAATACAGTTGTCTTTCCAGGGTTTCCTAATGCCTTGTGTGCTTCTGTATTATTTTTGTTTTCAGAAAGACCCAGTGAGCTCTCTAGAAAATTTAGAGGAAAAGAAGTTCCCTGGAGAGGCCTCCATACCAAGCCCTAAACCCAAGCTCCACGCAAGAGATCTCAAGAAAGAACTAATCACGTAAGTCATCTGGAGTGGCTTACTCTGTGGTTCTAGAACGGAGACTCCAATTCAAAACCTTGAGTAATAAATAACGCCTTGGCTTATGGAGCTGACTTTGCAGATGTTTTAGGGCAATTTCAACCAGTTGGTAGTTAAATGTTCTGTATATACCTAGACCTATGCTCAGAACTAAGAGGATTATGAAAAAAATGTACCTGACATGATCTCATGCTAAGAGAATTAAAAGTCTAATCGACTGAAAAACAAAACATGTAAAACAATTAGAAATGTTTATGTTCTGATCAGCAGATCTTAATCTAACACCCACTGGCCTCAGAGGATCCAAGTCAGGGCTTCAGGGAGTCTACAGACTCACAAAACTTAATTGCAGAGTGTTACTTGGGAAGGGGGTTCATGGTTTTCGTCACATTCTCAAGGGCTTCCGTGCCTCAGAAGTTGAAAGGACAGGGCAGGAAGTACTAACCGAGCTGCAGCGGGTTCTGAGACAGGCCGGGCCCTCCGGAGCAGAAGGGCCCAAGCTGAGCCCCAGGACCAGGTGACCTGGAGAGAGCGAGAGAACAGGGCGAGGGCCCTGAGAAGATGGCCAGGTTTCCCGTGAACAAGCCACAGGGTGTTTGGGCAGAAAAGTGCACTAGGGCTGGGGTATCTTAGGAAGAGCAGTGTGCAGAGTTCTTCAGGGGCCGGGTGCACGTGGGGACCGTCTGGTGGCAGGAAGATCACCTGAACTGTTGGCTAGAGATGCAGACGTGAGATCGTGAGCTGCGGCCTGGGAGATGGGGCCTCCAGGGAAGATGTATAAGAGGAAGCGGACAGAGTGCCCGGCCCAGAATTCGAGGGCACTCATCCTGCTGGGACCTGACAGGGAAAAAGAAGCGCACAAAGAACAAAGACCTGGGGCCAAGGGGGAGGCAAGTGACGGTCATGGGAGCTGAGAGCTCAGGAAACTCCACCTGGGCCTTGGATGGTCTCAGATGCCACAGCAAGTTCAAAGAGGTTAAAGCAGAGAAGGCAGGGCAAACCCCAGGAGAGCGGGCCTTGGGAATAAGCGAGGCCAGACAGCGGGGGGACGCGCGGTGGGAGCGGGGGGCGGGGGCAGAGCTGGGGTGCGAGGGACGTGCCACCAAATGACGCAGGGACGTTAACTAGGACTGTGGCCTGAGCCCAGCTCGCACACCCTTATTCCTTTTTCACCCCGAAGGTCTCTGACCGGGGGCTGTTGGAGGTCAGAGTGTGGCGCACACAGCTCGCTTACGGGTGTGAGTTCGCCCGGGCCATCGCCAGGACACAGGCCGTCCTGACCGCCTTCTCCTCGTCTTCCGGTCACCACTGTGCGGGGGCATGGAGACATCAGGGTCGACGTTGAGGGAGGGGGAGAGGGCACAGGGAGGGGAGGGGCTTTCAGGCAAAGGCAAGGCGGGAACCGTGGCTTTGGGGCGTTTATATCCTCAGACGATAGTGTAGCCCCGGGGGGTTGGTTGCCGGGAGTGAGTGAGTGACATGCAAGAAAATCTTTTCCACGGGAAAGTGATTAAACCTTCATGCATATTCTCACCCAGTACAGTTAAAGCTGCCAGCTAATGAGAGTTTCTAGCAGAGAGGGACCCTTGCACTTAGGCGCTGGCATCTGTACCCTCTTCTGAGTCCCCCAGCAGAAAAGTACGTTTACGTTTTTCTAATACAATAGATTAAGCACCCTGTCCTGAGTAGAATGCTCTGCCCACCGATCTCTGCGGGCCCGTCCTCCCCTCCCTCAGCTGTTCCCCCACGTGTCACCCACCTGAGAGGCCTTCCCGGCTGTTGTGGTCCCCCCTTCCCAGCCCCGCTGCTCCCGCCCCCTTTCCCAGGAGGGCAGGCTCTTCCAGCCACTGAGGTTGCTTCTTCCACGTCCCCGCGTGGGCCCCTGGTACCACTGCACTGCCGCTCGTTTCCCCAGTGACAGGGACACACCTCAGACGCTGCACAGGCCCTGCACACACAAGCTGTCGATCAGAAGACCCCAGTCCAGCATCAGTCTGTCCTGTCCACACTCAAGTGATTTTTTTTTTAATATCTTTATTGGAGTGTAATTGCTTTACAATGGTGCGTTAGTTTCTGCTGTGTAACAAAGTGAATCAGCTATATGTATACATATATCCCCATATCCCCTCCCTCTTGCGTCTCCCTCCCGCCCCTCTAGGTGGTCACAAAGCACCGAGCTGATCTCCCTGTGCTATGCGGCTGCTTCCCACTAGCTATCTATCTTACGTTTGGAAGTGTATATATGTCCATGCCACTCTCTCACTTCGTCTCAGCTTACCCATTCCCCTCCCCGTGTCCTCAAGTCCATTCTCTACGTCTGCGTCTTTATTCCTGTCCTGCCCCTAGGTTCTTATGACCATTTTTTTTTTTAGATTCCATATATGTGTGTTAGCATATGGTATTTGTTTTTCTCTTTCTGACTTACTTCACTCTGTCTGACAGCCGCTAGGTCCATCCACCTCACTACAGATAACTCAATTTCGTTTCTTTTTATGGTCGAGTGATTTTTAAATAATCGATTATGCTGCATTCCTTAAGGATTTCGTGGGCGGACATTGCTGCCTCGAGCATGATGTTCTCTTAGGAGGTTAACATTTCCTGATGATGTAGGGCCCGCATACCAGAGCTGCACGTCACCAAGCACAGCACCCTCCGGGAGGTGCCCTGGCACAGCCATGTCAAGGCTGCCATGGGCCTGCGAGTCAAGTTTCTAAAATCTTTGTATGCATTTTGTGTCTGCATATTATCTCAGATATCTTCCAAAAGGGCCAATGTTTATCCTTTGAGGGTAGATTTTGGAAATTTCCAGAGTCGTTCCAAGCTAAATGAAATGTAAAGAACTGATAATTAACCTGCATCACCATTTTAGACAGAAAAATTAAGTGTGATTATTTTGTAATGGGCACTTCTCATTGGTGCAAAGAGAAAGGGCTCCAAAAAGATGGTGAACAATTTTTGGAATATAATCATGAATTCCTAGGAAATTGACTCTCTAGAGGCCTCGTGGTTTTCCGCTCATTTCGGAACAGGGGAGCGCTTGGGTGGGTACCACGTACTTCTACACACCTGTGTCACACACTGGTTCTGTAAACGTCTCACTGCTTTACAGTTTCACCCTGTCCTTATTATGCTTTGTTTTATGTTTCTAAGAGATAAATGCACCTTAACTGCTTCCCAGAAACTGTTCCGCTAAAATAGGACTTTTTGATGTCATTGATCAACATGGATTTGCTTAGAGTTCGAGTGCCACTTACCGAGGGAACTAGCTAGTTTCCTTTCTCTAAGTTGTGATACCCTCATCTGCAAATCTTCCCAGAATACATCACCCACCTGGGATCTGCACATGTTATTGTACAAGATTTCTCATTGAAGATCGGATCCAAAACAGGACCTTTTCCCACTACCTCGCCCCCTGCAATCTTGGCTTTATTCCTTGACCTCTTTATACCACAGAGCTGAAACAAAATAGCCACTATTTAAATGCACAGTTTATCATTATACTTCCTAAGTAATTTATAACTGTCTGGTTTAAAAAATCATTGGCACTTTGCCTCTTCTGGCAGTATTAATAGGCATAATTTAAAAATAGAAATAAAATTTAAAGTAAAATAAAATAAATGCAAAGCTATTTTGGCACACCAGGTGGCGATGTATTTCCAAAGTAGGAATTCCCAGGGCACTGTAACCCATCTCTCACGCTCTGAATATTCCAGCTGTGTAATTATCAGAAAAGATTTTTTCTCTGTTTAGCGGGTGAATGGCACTTGCAAGATAACTCAGCTCAGACGTTAGTCGTTGTTCTTTTTTTTCTTTACTTGTTTACATATATTTGTAGCTTCCGCATTTTCCTTTCTGATGTTCCAGCTAGGAAAGTGGTGGGCAAAGAGCTGGCTGGTTCAGCTCGGATCAAGCTCCGGAAATCAAACATCTCTCTGAGAGATGAAGATGTTCTAACTCTTACAGTTTCTTTAGAGTACCTGAGAATGATTGGAAAGTAGCTCACAGGGGGAAAAAAAATACTGAGAAGGTGACATTTCAGAAATCTTGGATGTCATCAATCTATTCCCAAATGCCCCTTTAAAGAGGCAGAGTCTGCGTTCCACACGTGGGTGAGCCTTCACGTTAGGCAGGGTGCCGAAAACATCAGAAAGCACTAGTGACGTAGCTGATGTCCCTGATTATTGACACAAAGACCACCGAGTGGGCCGGGGTCAATCTGCTTACCTCACACCAGCAACTTTCAAGCAGCGTCAGAGGGAAATAAAGGGCTCAGAAACCAAGGAATCTGTTAACTCTGGCAGCAGAACTGCTCAGGATAACTATCCACTTGCATTATTTTTAAAACACACATAAGATGTGCAGAACATGACCAGCTTCTGAGATAAATGAAGTGCCCGGGACAGACTCCGGTCTTGGGCAGACAGCCTGGAGAGCCTACCGCTTAGGTGGTTAATTCCTCATTGTCTTTGCTGGGTTCAAAACTTTGAATGAAACTGATCACAAGCTTTATTAACTAAACTTCGTAACTATTTCTGTACTATCAGAACTGTCCCATCTAAAATGTCAGTTTACATTTTAGCCATATGTAGTATTTTCAAAGATCTTCTTTTTCAGGTGTTTTCTAACATGCTTATGAAGTTACTATGTTATCTTTTTCTTTAAAAGAAGTCACAAAAATTTCTTTCTGAAATCTGTGATATAATTGGTACCTAAGAGCCGCTATCATGGTGAAGCATGGGTTTTTTTTTTTTTTTTTTTTTTTTAAACAATGGGTTTTTAATATTTATGTTTTATAACTCATATTTTCAAAGAAATAGAACACCACTGACTGTTGATTCACTCACATCCATTACCAGGACACGTATTTTAGCATCACTGTCCTCCATCGTCTGAATCAGAGAGCTGATGTGATCCTGGAAACTAATAACTCAGGATCATGGCAGTTCCCTCTTGTCTCGTCTGCTGGTCCTTATATAATCTACATCTTTAGTTCATTAGCTTCTTCACGTCCCATATGTGTTAACTGGTCTTGAAAAGAGAAGCTACCTCATACCCAGTCAGAGCAAGTGCATCCGTGAATGCACCTGACCCTGATTCTATGTTTTTATTGACCCAGCTGTCCAACGCCAGGATGCGACGGGAGCGGGCACGTCACAGGCAACTATGCATCTCATCGCAGGTAGCTCCCCACCCTCTCACTTAGGCGTTCTGCATCTGTCCTCCGTAAGGACTCACCCTCACCCTCTCTAGAAAGATATCTCGATCGGGAGTTGGAGACTGAGTTAGTTGGGGTTTTGGTTTGTTTCGTTTTTCAGAAATAAAGCTAAGTCTTCAGTCTTTTTACTGATATTGTAAAGAAAGTGTACTTCTCTGGTCAATAACGGTTTTCTGATCCTATGATCCAGGCTACAACCCAGAAGTTAGAGTTCATGTCAGGCTCGGGTCCTGTCTAGCTTTAGGACTCAAGTGAAACCCAGGTAGGACAGCAGTGACCTGAACTGACCTTTTACGCTGTGGGAGGCTTCAGTAAAGGGTTGGAGGGACAGTAGTGCAGAGGCTGTGCTCGGCCCTTCCTCCCACCTGTGTCACCCATGTGATTCGCTGTCCCTCTGGGCAGGGCCTTAACTTCTGAGCACCATCCCTCGGGATGCAGAGGGAGGGTTCTCTGGGTCAGTCATCACTGGAGCCGGGGGTCTCTCTGGGCGAAAGCCCCTGGTTTGGTAAATAGCAAACCAGAGTCTGTGACAAGTAGTCAAGGTACCCAAAGCCCGGTCTGGCTAGAGCAGCAAAGACAGGTTCAGACTTTTTCCCAAAGCCCGTCGGTGGATTGAACATGTGTTCACCAGCTCAGGCTGCCCCCAAGTCGGGCCTGCGTGTGTCAGTGCGTGTGTCTCTGTTTTTGCTTTCTCCTCCCTCTTCAGTGTCTCTGGATGTCCTTTGGCAGATAAGACTCTGAAATCCCTCATGGCGGCCAACTCTCAGGAACTCAAGTAAGTGTCCGGCCAGGGTGGCCCTAACCAGGGGCAGACGGCACCTAAGTAAATTATGACCACGCGCTCTCCCACCAAAAACTCAAACAGCTAAAACCAAATCACTGTAATTTAGTTTAGTTAATTAGCTGGACTTGGAGGGTTTGTATTTTACAATGTTTTTAAAAGCAATGACGTTGGGCTTCCCTGGTGGCGCAGTGGTTGAGAGTCCGCCTGCCGATGCAGGGGACGCGGGTTCGTGCCCCGGTCCGGGAAGATCCCACATGCCGCGGAGCGGCCGGGCCCATGAGCTATGGCTGCTGAGCCTGCGCGTCCGGAGCCTGTGCTCCGCAACGGGAGAGCCCACGACAGTGAGAGGCCCGCGTACCGCAAAAAAAAAAAAAATGTTAAAAGCAATGATGTTGAACACCTACGACACCTTTTCTCTGTTACCTTCAGAACGTGTATACTAATCAGACTTGGAGGGTACGGCCAGCATTTTCATCATCTGAGTTTAGGAAAACTGCGCAGTACTTTACCTTGTGGGCATTTTGAATCATATGACAGCCTTTCACTTTTGGGGGCGACATACAATTCTGGCTCATTTTCACCTTGTCTACAGGATCTCAAAGTCACACGTATATTAACTTACGTTGATTGATTTGATTTTTCCTACTATTATCTTCTTTTATCCCAAACTTCTCACTTGTTATTTTCATGTGTGGTTATAATACTTGTAGACTAATAAAAAGTTATAATCCACTATTTACCCTTTAAAAATATAAGGCATACATTCAGAAAAGATGAAGAATAACATTAAACAAAATTAGCAAAATGCATTTGCACATAATATTTTAGGAAAAATCAGTGTTACTAAGTCTAGTGATAAAATAATATTTGTGTAAATAGTAGAATTAACACTTGGTGTCTAAATTACAGGTAAAATTTCAGAGAATATATCTTCTTAATATTTTGCTAGTATTTCCATTTTTTAACTTGTTTAAAATTTATCTAAAAATTATCCAAAAAAAGTTTATGAAACAAGATGTGATATTAAACAGGTATAAAAATTCAGAATTTTAGTACCATGAACAGTAAAGACAACTCTAAAATATACAAAGCGAGTGTACAATTGATTGTGTCAGTGTAGATTCTAGAAGTCATTTTATTGGCTACCATCTTTCTAGACTGAAATGTAAGGATGTGAAGTGGAGACTTATTAGCAGATTGAAAGGAGAGAAGGGCTAGGCATACTCAGTCTTACTCAGTTGCTCTGAACTTCTATATTGCCGTATCTTAAAAATAGCTATCAGTTCTCCTAAGTATTTTCTCTAAACATTATTTCTAGAAGAAAATGTTGATAATACATTGAAAACATGTAGATTGAGTGGTTCTATAGCAATGTTCAGTACTTACCTGCTTTATACAGCCACCTAATAAGTAACATCTTTGTGGTTTTTTTCTGTACAGAAAGAAAAGGGGACATTTCATTGACCTCTTGTTTGGATATTCAGGGAGAATTTCAAAACAAGGTTTTTTTGGCATAGACTTTTCCAGAATTGCAATGTGCTAGTAAACCACTATTTTAATAAAAATATTAATAGCATCTGAGCCTTTCTTACAGTATAGAATATGTATTAAATCTCTAAATGTTTGGTTAGAGAATCATTGCAGGGTTCTCTGGTTAGCTTGAAGAGATGTATGCAGATTTCATATTTCCTTCGAGAAAAGCATTCACTCCCTATGTTCCGCCTCAAGATTGAATATAGAAGAATTTCTGTGAAAGTTCAGTGGCTTGGAGTTTAAGAAAAGGAATAGTGTTCACATTCTTCTTTGGATTATTATCTTTCTCAAACTCTTGTTTGAGTAGAAATCTGAACCCGGGTGGGCATACAAGTGAAATAATCACAATGACCTTGTCTACAAGAAGTTTCAGGAAAGCAAATATTTTATGACAGCCTCTGCGTTTTATTTTTTTATAAATTTATTTATTTATTTATTTTATTTATACTTTTTTACTTTTGGCTGTGTTGGGTCTTTGTTGCTGCGTGTGAGCTTTCTCTAGTTGTGGCGAGCGGGGGCTACTCTTCGTTGCAGTGCGTGGGCTTCTCATTGCGGTGGCCTCTCGTTGCAGAGCACGGGCTCTAGGCGTGCAGCCTTCAGTAGTTGTGGCGTGCAGGCTCAGTAGTTGTGGCTTATGGGCTCTAGAGTGCAGACTCAGCAGTTGTGGCTCGCCGCCTCAGTAGTTGTGGCTCGTGGGCTCAGTAGTTGTGGCTCACGGGCTCTAGAGCACAGGCTCAGTAGTTGTGGCACACGGGCTTAGTTGCCCCACGGCATGTGGGATTTTCCAGACCAGGGATCAAACCCGTGTCCCCTGCATTGGCAGGCAGACTCTTAACCACTGTGCCATCAGGGAAGCCCACCTCTGCGTTTGTATTAGTATCTGGCATTTTTTAAGGCAACAAAAGAGTGAGAATCTCTGTATATTTTTGCATTCAAGTGTATTTTAAACCCTGTTCCTAATTAGCATTCTAAGTAAAATTGGAATCTTCTTCCGCCTTCACTCCCCTGACTCTAAATTTAACGGTTGACTGTCAGTCAGAGCTATTGGTAGAGTTTCCACAAGACCTCTTAAGGTGGACCCTGAGGCAGAACAGATCAGGTGCAAATGTCCTAGGTTCTTTGGCAGGTGCATTAATCCACCAGGTCTCTGGTTGTCCCATCCACCACTGTTGTCCATCTGAATGTAAGGGATTATCATGGTGTTGGAGCAAATCAAAGGAAATAAATTACACACAGAAACAATTTGGAAACTCTTTTTTCTTAAGCAAAAGATAAGAACTTTGCATGATGTAGACAGAAGCCCAGCGGTAAATTGTGGGTCGAATTTCAGATTCCTTCCAAAATAAGGTTTAACAACAGGGACCTATTGTGTAGCACAAGGAACTATACTCGAGACTTGTAATAACCCATAAGGGAAAAGAATCTGAAAAATTTTACGTATATATATATGTATATACATATATATATATATATAACTGAATCACTCTGCTATACACCTGAAACTAACACAACATTGGAAATCAACTACACTTCAATTAAAAATATAAGGCTTAAAAAGAAGGAAAAAAGAATGCAGGATGACAATGAATATGGTGTCTTCCAAGCATTGGACAGTAGTTAACACATCTTAATATTTCCTTTAAAAATGGATTCTTAGGGCTTCCCTGGTGGCGCAGTGGTTAAGAATCACCTGCCAATGCAGGGGACACGGGTTCGAGCCCTGGTCCAGGAAGATCCCACATGCCGCGGAGCAACTAAGCCCGTGCGCCACAACTACTGAACCTGCCCACTAGAGCCCGCGAGCCACAACTACTGAGCCCATGTGCCGCAACTACTGAAGCCCGTGCGCCTAGAGCCCGTGCTCCGCAACAAGAGCAGCCACTGCAATGAGAAGCCCGCGCACCGCAACGAAGAGTAGACCCCGCTCGCCACAACTAGAGAAAGCCCACACACAGCAACAAAGACCCAACACAGCCAAAAATAAATAAATTAAAAAGAAATTAATTTTTTTAAAAAAGGATTCTTAGCCAAAAACCAGTTCTGTACAAGCAAAGAGTCCCACAAATCAGCTCATTCTGTTTGACTGCTCGTCTCTGTGTGATTTGTCATGACCCCCTACCACTCCTATGCGGCCCCAGCTCCGCTCTCGTGTCTTCCAGGTGTCCCACTCCAGGCTGTGACGGTTCGGGGCACGTGACCGGAAACTATGCCTCCCACCGAAGGTAAGACTGACCCCATGCCCGAGATGGAAATCAGAGCGGTGGCAGCCGCGCCCGTGAGATCACATGCTTCTGTTTTGTTCTTTGTTGGGTCCGTATTTCAGCCTGTCCGGCTGCCCTCGTGCCAGGAAAGGTGGTGTCAAGGTGACCCCTACGAAGGAAGAAAAAGAAGACCCTGAACTCAAGTAAGTGTGACGGCTGAGGCGGCAGCATCAGGGCAGAGGCCACTTGTGGGACAAACAGGGGGACTTCGGTTGGGAGGCAACTGCGTGTCTTGTTCATCACGAGGCCCTGGGAGCAGCATGGCAGCTCGGAGGCTGCAGAACACCTCGCCCTCCCCAGTGGTGCTCACACGGGTCTCCGATGGTGCAAAGGAAAGTCCTTGCCCAGCGGTTTTAAAGGAAAGCAGCCTCGTGGACATGCCCTAGTGTGACACACATGGCTGCGGGCTCCCCTGAAACTCAAGGCGCAATTTTATCTAAAGCGAGCTCCCTCCTCTGAGAAACATGCTTCAGGTCTTGGGTGACAGATGCAGACACAGGTGCAGAAATGTACAGAGGCTTGCTCGACAACGTGCAATATTTAGGCATTTGGAAATCAGAACTCCCGTTCTCTGAGCCAGGGACTCTGTGATGAGGGAGAGCCAGTTGACACGTTAGACCCTTGGTCTTTGTTTGGAGGCAACGTAACCCGTAACCAAGGGCTTCCCTGGCTGTTTCTGGAGCTGAGAAGTGTGGCCACACACTTGACTCCACTCCTTCTAAACTGGTGGCAAGTCCCCTGAGCTCTAGAAGTCATTCTCTGCCCCTCTAAAGTGGGGTAACAGCGTCTCTGCCCACCAGGTGAGCAGTGAGGTTCACGTGAGATAATGCATGACGGTTGCTTAGCTGGGAGCCTGAGGGCCATCACTGCTGCCAGCACTGCTGTCTCCCTGGTTGGAAGGCATCTGGTAGACGCCGTCGTTTCCCCACTTGCCCCCTGTGTGGTCTGCTCTCACCACCACTTCCTCGTTCGCTCGCCTCAGTGCTTCACCTGGCTTATCTCGTCTCTCCCAGCTGCTAACGACTGTGCTGTGTCTCTCCAGATGCCCTGTGATCGGGTGTGACGGCCAAGGTCACATATCAGGTAAATACACATCCCACCGCACGGCTTCTGGCTGTCCCCTGGCCGCCAAGAGACAGAAGGAGAACCCTCTCAATGGGGCCCCCCTCTCCTGGAAGCTGAACAAACAGGAACTTCCCCACTGCCCGCTGCCTGGCTGCAATGGGCTGGGCCACGTGAACAACGTGTTTGTCACCCACAGGAGGTAAGCTTTGCTGCTTTTTTTTTTTTTTTTTGCGGTACGCGGGCCTCTCACTGCTGTGGCCTCTCCCGTTGCGGAGCACAGGCTCCGGACGCGCAGGCTCAGCGGCCATGGCTCACGGGCCCAGCCGCTCCGCGGCATGTGGGATCTTCCCGGACTGGGGCACGAACCCGTGGCCCCTGCATCGGCAGGCGGACTCCCAGCCCCTGCGCCACCAGGGAAGCTCCGCTTTGCTTCTTACTGTGTGGTTGCTGTGATTGTTTGTCACCTGGATTGTCCGGGGGAGGGGAGAGACCCCCTCAAGGTCATTAATCATAGCACCTTAGATGTCCAAGTAATGAGTCTTGCCAGATAGATATTTGACCAGTTTGAAGGATGGAAAATGTTATTTTCTCTATTTCTGAAATTCACTGCACGATTTTCAACCACTTGCGAAACTGTGCTTGTGGTTTTTTTATTCTAAAATATTGCTTGTGCTGCTTTTTTTAATGGTTCTGTCAGTGGTTCACTTCAGTTCTAAGTGGTGATAGCTCCTCACTTCTGTTATGTGATCGTAAACTTTCACTTTACGTGTTTATGTCATGCCCTTCTGCTCGTCAGCTGGCTCCATTTCAGACCAAATGGTAGTTATTTTGCAGCTGGGAAGCTGTGAGTCATCCCCAGCGGCCAGAAAGAAAAGGACACAGCGATTACTAAGTACACGGAGGACAAGAGAGACTTAGAAAACTCTTTCTAGCTTCACAAGGACTCAGTTCCTTCAGACAAGAGAGATTTAGAAAACTCTTTCTAGCTTCACAAGGACTCAGTTCCTTCATCATTGAGTGGCATGTATGTCAACCAGGCTCTTTGTCAGGAGCACTGATCTTAAACCAGGCTTTTGTCCACATTCTCCATCAAGGAGAGGAGCTAGCGGAATTCCCTGGCGGTCCAGTGCTTAGGACTCCACGCTTTCACTGCCAAGGGTGCAGTTTCGATCCCTGGTCAGGGAACTAAGATCCCACAAGCCAAGCGGCACGGCCAAAAAACAAAATAAGGAGCGGGGCTAGAAGGTTCACTGCACACATCTCTGGTCGTGGGGCTGTGGCACACGATGCAGATTTAGGATCTAACAAAGCTTCGCGAGTCCTGAAGCTCTGCTTATGGGCAGGATGCCAGCAGTGCAAACCTGGTTCCGTTTTTGAGGTGCACACCAACGGTGTCAGGAGATGAAGTTTTCCAAGAGCTATACCTGCTTATGGAGGAAACCTGATCTCTTTAGGTGGTTTATTTTTTGATGGTTCTCAGATGCCTGATCACGTTCACAATAGTGCACGTTGTTTTCTTCTGGGTCTGTACCGTCGTTTCCCATCCAGGAAGGACAGTCACACATCAAGTGAGCCTCGTAGCTGCACAGCAGCTGTGCTTTCTCACCACGGACCCTGTCATATCCCCGTTGACATCGATAATGAAATACTAATGCTGGATTGTGGCGAGTGCATCCCTCAGTTAGAACACAGATTTCTCTTGAAAAATCCTGGAGTGGTTTTACATGATGACGCCAGGCCTGGTGAGGGTGTAGAGCTGCAGGGACCCTCAGAGCTGTAAGTGGAAGAGGAATTGGTAGAACCATGTCAGGAAGCTGATGCCTCAGATGTAAGGGAGCTGGTGAGGGTGCCCTGCTGTCCAGCCGCCAGGCGTCCAGGCTCAGTCCCAGAGGCTCTCCTGCACCCGGAGATGGAGACGGACGTGTCGTCTTCCCGGCTTCCCGGCTCCAGGCTGGGGACCGCCTGCCCGCCACCTTGGCCCCGCAGCGCAGGGCACAGGAGTGGCTCCACCTGCAGGGCCTCGGATCCGTGTGGATGCAAAGGCACCGCGGGCGGACTTGGAGCAGGTGTTGAGTGAGACAGAGTGCTGAGGGATACGTGTGGTGGGATTCTGTCCCACAAAGTGAAAAAACGTGTAGCAAAATCACGTTTTAAAAAACTAGGTAATTTTTCATCTGCAGTTGGAGTTAATGGCTGTCTCTGCGGGACAGGACACAGCTATTGCTATGGGGCAGGTGAAGCTTCAAAGCGCGTTCTGTGTTTGAAGGTAAATTCAAGGTATGCCCCTCAAGGGCATTCTTTCAACTGCAAATACACGTTGTATGTATCTGTGTACATTACTACTTATTTCATAATAAGAAAAGGAAATTATGAGTTCAAAAATATGGGCTGCAGTATTAATGCAGAGATATTATTTTCTAGGAGAAGAAAAACAGTTAAGAATTCAGACAAATAAATAATTCAGATTTCACTGTTTTTCACTCTTGCTACTCAAAGGATTTAAGAGCCCAAATTTAACCTGGGGTATTCTCTTTGGGGTGGAATGCTTTTCTTTACTATGTGTAGCATTTAAACAAATAAGATAATAAAATACCTGGCTTATTGCCTGGTACATAGTAGATGTTCAGCACAGACTATTTCCTTTCCCTTTTGTACAATTATATTAATATATATGTAGCTATGCAATAATTCATTAAAGTAGGAATGACATGCTGGAATCACACGTACTGACCTACGATACACCTTTATCTGTCCTCTTCTCAACCCTGACGTCCTGACTTGTTCTGTTCTCTTTCCTGTCACTGCCAAAGGCCAACTGCTATTCCAGGCTGCTCTGTCCCAGCAGACAGCCTGTTCTGAGTTCCTCACATGGCTTATCCCTTTAAACCCTTACAAACCCTGTAAGCTACAGGGACTGCGGTGACCCTCAGTTGACAGAAGAATCAGAGCACAGGGAAGTTCAGGGATTGCCCCCCTCCTGCACAGCTCACAGCATCGGGGCCCCAGAGCCCCTCTCCCGAGCTGGGTACCAGCCCATCCCTGGTGTTTCCTGGATCCTCCCGACCACGAGGCACTCGTGCAGACTTTCCTCAGCCGTCCTCTAAAGCAAGTTCTGTAACTTTTCCCATTTAAGATTCAGCAAAATGGGAATAATTACAAAAGTTACCTTAGAGGATGGCTGAGAACAATTACCTGTGCATTACATCAGCATTTTGTTTACATACTAATTACTTTAAAACCTTTCTTTAAGACTTCATGTTACAGACTTCCACTTTGAAAGAATAGCAACTGAGAAGACAAATGATATTATATTAAATACACATCATTATGGATGTCTGCAGCTTTAAAACCAGAAGTCCTGTGACTAATAGAACTCATTTAGTGCCACACCGTAACTATAATTTTATTGAGGTTTACTAGCATATTATAAACAATGATGTCCACCACACAGATTTGTCACCTGCTGTTGTACTGTAACAGGGCAGATGAAGATATAGTTTTAAATTGCCTTCCCCTGGGGCTTCCCTGGCGGCGCAGTGGTTAAGACTCCACCTGCCAATACAGGAGACACGGGTTCGAGCCCTGGTCCGGGAAGATCCCACATGCCGCGGAGCAACAAAGCCCGTGCGCCACAACTACTGAGCCTGCACTCTAGAGCCCACGAGCCACAACTACTGAGCCCGTGAGCCACAACTACTGAAGCCCGCGTGCCTAGAGCCCGTGCTCCGCAACAAGAGAAGCCACCGCAATGAGAAGCCCGCGCACCGCAACAAAGAGTAGCCCCCACTCACTGCAACTAGAGAAAGCCTGCACGCAGCAACAAAGACCCAATGCAACCAAAAAAATATATATAAATGAATAAATTTTAAAAATAAATAAATTAAAAAAAAATTTTTTTTAATCTTTAAAAAAAAAATTGTCTTTCCCTGCCTTCATAGAATTGTGAATTTGGTCCAAGCCGTATAAAGCATGTTTCTCCTGCCTTACAATACGGAGCCCGAACCCCAAAGGGGACGCCCAGCCAACCTCCCTGTTTTCCTGAGCGGCAAGGCTGAGCCTTGTGGAGGATGTGGCATCCTCAAAAGGAAAGAGGACATTAAAAATATTTTCTTGCCCCAGTTTTCTTAAATTTAGGATTTGTTTTATATCCTGGAAGATACAACCACATTGGGAGGTACAGAACATCCAGTGGCATTTTTTACTTTTTTTTTTTTTTTTTTTGTGGCACGCGGGCCTCTTACTGCTGTGGCCTCTCCCACCGCGGAGCACAGGCCCCAGACGTGCAGGCTTAGCGACCACGGCTCACGGGCCCAGCCGCTCCGCGGCACGGGGCATCCTCCCAGAGCGGGGCACGAACCCGTGGCCCCTGCATCGGCAGGCGGACTCTCAACCACTGCGCCACCAGGGAAGCCCATCCAGTGGCATTTTTTAGACCAAAGCCTCCCTCCCGTCACTTAACTGTACTCGGTTCTAACGCACATGGTTGTGGAGTTTCACTAGCATTCCACACGGCTGTCCCCCCTGGACGCTCACCCTGTGTTGTCTAAACAGTGCAGACCCTTGACGGGAGAGACAGAAGTTCTTGGGAGGTATTAACATCCATCTTGTTACAAATCTCCCACAGGTGACTTTTAAAATCCAGTTTACCAGCCAACCATTACTCCCATTTGTAACATTTGTCAGAACACAATATGTGACAGAAGACAAGACAGACTTGTACAAACTTTCCAGGAAAAAAAAAAGAAGATAATGTAGCTTATAAAGGCCACTCTTTTTAGTGAGCAGCTTCCAAAATAGAAAAGTCAGGTTCAAAGTTCAGTTTGTGCTTTTCCATTATTTTCTTTTCCTGTGTAAAATATTTCATAATTTATCAAATCTTGGCAACCCACAGAGCCTTCCTTTTATATGTAGTATTACATATCTATTATTGTTTTATTTCATATAATCTTAATATAGAACAATTTTAAATTCTTAAGAAAAATATTCATTCTGCAAACATTTATTAAGGGCTTTGTTTCAGAAATATTCTCCTTTCACTCTGCCAAGTGTTCCAATCTTTGGATGGAAAATGATTCTTTCATGCATGAATTGTAACCAAATTTCTCTGGGAAAAAATATTTTCAATGGCTAATTATCATTTTTAATTTTATTTAAAAATGGTATCTCCAAAAATATAACCAAATGACAAAAGAATTAATGGCTGCATAGAGCAACAAAATCATCTCATCATGTGCTACAGGAAACAAGTATCATTCACTGTTGTCATTATCATTTTGGTGTAATTTAAACAAAACAGATGACATTATAGGAAGGACGCAGGTGTGAAGGGTGTGGCTCTTCAGGAAAAGCGTATAAAGAGCCTGCCGGGCAGCGCACTGCCTGGGCAGTGAGGCTGCTTAAATACACCTACAGCCCTGCCTTTTCTGTTCCTTTCAGGTAGAGATTCTTTAATGAAAAATGATGTTTACAAGTTAAAGAATAAATTCGAAACTTTCCCCTACCCAAACTGGATTTGCCATGAGGGGGGGGGGGGGGAGGGGAGGGATATTATTTTGGGCTTGTATCAATTTGAGTCATTCTGTAAAGATCAAATGACAGTGTGTATACAGACAGGAAGAACTAGATTTATTATTCATGGCATTTTTGACTAATCTGGAACAAATCTTATACAAAATGTATACATACCGTTTTACATTTACAGTGAATAAAGTAACCACTACTAAAAAAGGCCCTTACATGAGTGCAAAGTGGTAACATTTTAACAAAATTAATTCAGTGATAGTTATCAACAGTAGCTATTTGTATTTTGATCTGAGAAAAAAACACAAAACACTTTATTTGAGGGCTTTTGCTTTTGTTTCAATAGATATTGCTGCGTTCTGCACAGACTACAGGTTGTAATGTAATGAGTAGGCAGGCAAAGACTTAAAGAGTAAGTACTGAGTACAAAATTTTAATTTTTGTAAGAAGTAATATGTGTTTCACACATCGGTATAATTTCTCTTTTCACAGCTTATCTGGATGTCCTCTCAATGCACAAGCCATCAAGAAGGGCAAGGTCTCTGAAGAACTAATGACCATCAAGGTCAAAGCATCCGGAGGTAAGAGGGCAGGGCGGGGCGGCCACCCCCGAGGTCTGGACCCTGGTCTCCGGCGGGTCCTGTGTCTAAACCATCCTCCGTGCGGGAAGTGCTATTTGACTAGGCAAGAAGGAAGCTTTCCTCAAATTTGAACTAAACTATAACTTTCTCTAAAGAACAATCTCTTGGGTTTCTTTCCTTACTTTTTTTTTTTTTTCCCCTTGATTGCAAGTGACATGGGGGTGACTAGTTGGTTTGGAAATGGCTCTGATATATCAGAGTTCCATCACTTTCATCATAGGGACCAAGAGCTATTTCGAAGGACAGGCCAGAGTCCTGGTGTGAACTCGTTGGTCACCTGTAGGTGGGGAAGGGGGCTTGTTTGCTGTAATGTATTAGGTCATGGGGGCTAGAGTTCCTGATGACAATGTTAAAATGCTGAAATATGTATATTTGTATACTGTGTGATGTTTTCAGAGAATAGCCTAGTGACCTTGTTGTGACCTCTAGTGGCCTCTAGTGACATACAGCACAGAGAGTGGAGCTCGGTGAGCTATTTCAAAATGTGTTGAGATTTAAGTGAAACCCAAAACTTAAATAAAAGATACAAATAAGGAATACTTTAGCCATCTTTGAGAAAAAAGAAGGGGCAAAACTTCTTTTTCAGGTATCAATTTAAAATGTTTGGCAGTATCATGTTATAAGGGTAAAATTTCCATATTTGATTTTTCATAGGGATGATGAGAGAGTGGAACATGCTGCATCTGTCACCCTTGGGGGTCAGATTCACAGGTGATGTGATTAGGGCAGTTAGCAGAGCATGGCGACATGTGACAAAGGGTGCTTGAAGAATAAAGTTTCCTGGGAATACTCAGGCTTGTGAACACAAGTGGTATCATGAGAAGATGACTTAGGTCACAAGAAAAGAGAGTCAAATTCGGAATTAGCCGCCTTCAGACGTGCGTGTTGACTGGTGTGTTATTTTTCCAGAAACTTGTAGGTTGAAAGATCAGTCTAGAGCAGGACAATTTTTTTTTAATACATAAAAAGGAATATAAACACAGCATGACAAACAGGTATGTAATGTTCTTTTGCTACTGGACAAAATGCCTTTCTGCTCTCATTTATGCTCAGGTCTTCAGAGAACAGAGTTCAGGGAAAATTCTGTCTTCTAGTTCTCAGAAAAATATCTAAGATTTTGGAGTTGTGCAGAACCCACCCCAACTCTACTGATTTTTCAGTTGGAGTTTTAATTGCTGTGAGAAAATAAAAGTGTAAATGTGGTGTTGCAGAATGCTAATTGTTTTAAAAATCAGGCTGATTTAATTAATTTAGTGGTGTCCATGTCTTAGGTTTACCTTACTTTTTAATAAGGATCTCCAGCAGAGAAAGCCAAGCGATGAGACTTTTGATCAATTAGGGTGCACTGGCTGAACTTTTGCGCTTCAGTCCTGAAAATGATAGTTTTTTGTATGAGCCTACACGCGCGCGTGTGTGTGTGTGTGTGTGTGTGTGCTCCTGGTATAAGCCCTCTATCAAATTTCAAGTTTTGGGCACCTATGTTTGAATCCTTAAATTCTGCTGTACCCTCAGAATGGTATTTTTGTGGAGAATCCACATGGTTTAATTTAGCATCTCTATCTCTGTTTCTCTACATGCCTTCCTAGTGTCAACCCCCGACCACAGTTAATATACACAGTGGCTGAGCTGAGGTCTATTTTGGATCTTCCTGTGTCCCTCTGATTCTTGAGTACTTTTCTTGAGTTCTCACCAGCATTATCTCAGGCGTGTGTTGTTTCCTTCGAAGACCATCCTGACGCATCTGGGAAACAAAGGCAAAACAATTACTTTGCTTTGGGGATTTTATCTGATGGCATCTTAAGCACATGGGTAGAACCAAGCGGGGGACTGTGACCTGTTGTTACTTTATTTCTCTGAAAGCATCACTCCATCTTTTAAATCCGTGTGTGACTCTTAAAAAGAGTAGCTTGTTTCCAGGTTGTGCTTCCGTGAAGAATATACCAAGTGCACCTTACACATCCTGCTGCTGTAGGTTTGTCTCAGGTGTGTGCCTAGGAACGGCGTTGCTGGGCCGTGGAGCATGTGAGGTCCACCTTCAGTAGGTGATGAACTGTGCTCCAGAGCAGCGACCCAGGAAAGTACCAGAGCCTAGAGCTGTTTCGCACAGATTGTCGGCTCTGCTCACGCATTGGTCTCCCTAAATCTAAATGCTGGCATTCGCATTTATCCCACTGAATTGTCATCTCTTGGCTTAGAGTCATCATTCTGGACTGTTGAAATGACCTTAAATCCTGCTTCTGGCATCCTGATCATGAGCTCCTCTTCCCAGCTTTTTAAATCCTTAAATGTATTCATATTCCTTCTCTAAAAGAATGATGGGAAAATAACTCCCGCGCATTGAGAACCCGTTGTATGTTCAGCACTTTATGTTTTATTGCGTTGATTCTCACAACGTTTTACTGAAGCACAAGGACGTGAAGTAAGTGACGCAAGTTCAGGAACAGGAGCCAGGCAGCGTTCAAACTCCAAAGCCACACTCTCCCCGGACGCCATTTGCTTCTGATCCTGGCCCGGGGAGAAGCCGAGCTGTGTGTCCCTGGGCTCGAACCCACCTGCCAGGACCCCCCTCTGCCTCTAATAATGGCTCATAAGACCCCATACGTTTGGTCGTTAGTCAGCACCATCCGGGTCTTCCTGTCCTGGCAGCATCGCACAAGAGAGAATGCCCGGGCTTTGGAGCTCAGGCAGGCTCTGCCCCTTCCTTTGGCCCCGGGGCAGGTGATGCGGCCCCGTCAGGGGTCACCGTGGCCTCCTTTAACCTCTGTGAAGCTCTGGCCTTTGTGGGGGGAAGGAAGGGTGATGACACCTGCCCCACAGGGTCCAGCAGCAGACCTGGAACACAGCAGACCTACATTAAACGCTGGGGCATTTCTTACTAAGGAAGAAAATCCTGCAACTCTTTGAACCCGCTTTTTAAGAATCTTGAATATGGGTAAAAATTCAACGTTATAGATTAAAATCTCATTTTCACTTAGCAAACCACAAACTCAGTGTAAAAGGGCTCAGATTTGTCTCAGTCTCTTATTTTCTGTTTGAACTAAAAGAGTCTGACTTTTTACAGGTATAGAGAGTGATGAAGAAATTAGGCATTTGGATGAAGAAATAAAGGAACTCAATGAGTCCAACCTTAAAATTGAAGCAGATATGATGAAACTCCAGACGCAGGTAAAAAAAAAAAAAAAAAAGGAAGAAGGAAGGGAGGAAGCAGTGAGGGAAGGGATGGACGAAAGGAGAAGGCAGGAGAGCAATGAGTTATCTTTAGGTAATCATAGTCCTAAATGGAGGGAACACATTGAACTATTAAACCCTATGATAAAAAACAAACTTACCAGACATCCCTGGTGGCGCAGTGGTTAAGAGTCCGCCTGCCAATGCAGGGGACACGGGTTCGAGCCCTGGTCCGGGAAGATCCCACATGCTGTGGAGCAACTAAGCCTGTGCACCACAACTACTGAGCCCGTGTGCCTAGAGCCCGAGCTCCACAACAAGAGAAGCCCGCGCACCGCAACAAAGAGTAACCCCCGCTCGCTGCAGCTAGAGAAAGCCCGCACGCAGCAACGAAGACCCAACACAGCCAAAAATAAATAAATAAAATAAATTTTAAGAAAAACATACGGATCTTTTGCAATGAACACACGATCCTTGTGAAGGCTTGAATACATGGATCACGCTGGACGATCACTGGTTTGGCAGCTGTAGGCCAAATTCCTCACGTTTTTGCCCTGGGTTCACCAAAGGCTTTATCAGCAAGTAAGACGATCTTCCTATAATTGCAGAGCCTCTGGAGTATGTGGTGCTTTAGAAAAACCGTCATGAGAAGATATGGGAGGCCTTAGTTTTATTGGAAATTCAAGTAAAACAATGCAACTTTTTAAATTTAATTTTTCTAGAACACCTCTGAATGAGTCAGTCTTTGATAGAAATGGATCTTTTCCCAGATTTTCCTGACATTCTTTATTGAAAATTCAAGCAATTTCTCAATTCTGCATTCTCCTGGGTCTGCCCCAGCCCCTGATTAAATTTACCCACGAGGAAATTAAAAGGTCAGTCCAGGATTCGTTTTTTGTCTTTTTTTGTTTGTCTGTTTTTTTTTGGCCGTGCCCCAAGGCTTGTGGGATCTTAGCTCCCCGACCAGAGATCGGACTCGGGCCCCAGCAATGAGAGCACCGAGTCCTAACCACTGGACCACCAGGGAACTCTCCAGTCCAGGATTTTTAAAAACACTCACAATAACTCTATTGCAATAAATCAGAAGGAAAAGAATGAGACAAAGTTAAGTTGAAGTGTCTTTCTCCCTTTTCTCCTTTCCTGAAACGTGGGGTTTGGGCCACTGAGGTTACTGACTCTCAGAAGTCTTCACTCACAAGGGCCTAAAACAGAAGCTTTCAGTCCATCTGAAAAGCAGGTTTCTGCGTGACCACTGTCATAATCTTCCATTAATAGCAATCCAAGCTACAAAGAGAGCATCACGCGTGGTTTTCGCAATCATGAGAACTTGTCTTGAGAACATTAGTGAAGAAAGCAAAGGCCTTGCCCTCATGGAGCTTACAGTCTAGAAGGGGAGGTAAACAATAACAAAAAATCAGAAGCGATAAACTACATCACACGAGGGCAGGGCATGGGGAGAAGCAGCCAGGGTTCGATACAGAGAGGAGAGCGGGGCTCAGCCACAGGAAGAAGGAAACATGTGGCCAGACCCGAGGAGCTGAGGCCATTAGCCAAACAGGAAGGGGGAGGAGTGTTTGCAACAGGAGAAACAGCCAGTGCCAAGCCCCTAACCCTTGAGAAGGCCCAGCGTTTGGAGAAATAGCAGAGTGAGCGTGGCTACAGGTCAGTGACCTGGGGGTTATAGGAGGTGGGTCCCCGGGGACACACAGGGCTTCCCAGGCCCTTTTTAAGATGTTGGTTTTTATTCTGAATGAACGCAGAACCATTACGGGGTTTAGAGCCAAGGGTTAACACGATCATATTTGACCTACGATCTGCCTGACGTTTGAAGAGACCCGCGTGGGTAGGTGGGGTGAAGACAGGTCAGCAAGAGATTGGGTGGTGCCCAGCCGGGTGCAGGGCCGCCCCTGAGAAGTGGTCACAGTCACCACGGCGGCTGCACCTGGGGAGCAGCAGTGCAGGTGGGCACCGTCTCCATCCTGGGCCCTCTGACGGGGGAGCCCAGTGGACATGAAGTGCGAGAGAAAGCGCTGTTAGGGACGCCTCCCAGGCCTGGGCAGCGAGCAAGTTGCCATCAGCTGGGAAGGAGGGGGCTGTGTAGGGAGCGGGTTTGGGTAATAGCGAAGGTTTGCCCTTGAAGTCCGCCTTACAGCCACGTGGAGGCGTGGATCTGCAGCCGTGGGAAAACCTGGACTGAAGAGCCGCACTTGGGGCTGTGGTTCCGGCCCTCAGAGCTAAGGTTGGGGGGGGGGCGGGGGGCGGGCAGGGCTGCCGCTTTCTGAGGACAGGTGGCCATAGGCCTGATCAGCGCCGGACCCCGCTGAAGCCCCGCCCTTCCAAACCCTGCTTCCCACATTCCCAAGTTCTTTCCATTTCAGATCACGTCTATGGAGAGCAACTTAAAGACGATAGAGGAGGAAAACAAACTGATAGAACAGAGCAACGAGAGTCTGCTGAAGGACCTGGCGGGCCTGAGTCAAGCCCTCATCTCCAGCCTCGCTGACATCCAGCTCCCACAGATGGTGAGTCTGAGGCCACTCGGCTCCGACCCAGGGCTCCCCTTGCTGGCGAGCCGTCACCCAGGGCTGGGGCGGAAAGTCGGCTCCGAGGGGACGGGCCACCCACACTTCATCCCTGGGAACGTGATGGATATTTACGTTAACCCTATGTCACGACCAAGGGCTTCTGATACCGCAGGAGCCATTCAGAGATGATGAGGGTTTATCTGAAACTAGGTTTATAACGTAAAATGAAAATTGGAGGCCAAAGTTCCCGCTCTCAAAATTTGTTTCCAAATGGAAAGCTTGCTAACGTGGCTTACACAATCTGAGACCCATGCTTTCTTTTTTTTTTTTTTTTTTAACATCTTTATTGGAGTATAATTGCTTTACAATGGTGTGTTAGTTTCTGCTGTATAACAAAGTGGATCAGCTATACATATACATATATCCCCATATCTCCTCCCTCTTGCGTCTCCCTCCCACCCTCCCTATCCCACCCCTCTAGGTCGTCACAAAGCACCGAGCTGATCTCCCTGTGCTGTGTGGCTGCTTCCCACTAGCTATCTATTTTACATTTGGTAGTGTATGTATGTCCACGCCACTCTCTCACTTCGTCCTAGCTTACCCCTCCCCCTTCCCGTGTCCTCAAGTCCGTTCTCTACGTCTGCGTCTTTACCTAAGTATGCTCTTCATATAGATAGGTGCTCCTCATATAGAATAAAAAGCACAAGAGTGAGCGAGGAATCCTACTTCCAAAACCTAAACGTATGCTTGAGGCATTGCAACTATTTAAAATTCATAGAAAATTGGTTTCCTTTACATTTTCATAAATATAATAAACATTTGGAAGAGGGCTGCATTGTTGAATGCTTTCCGTTTCCTCAGTACAGGCATGTTTAGAACAAGTTTTCTAAAGCTGCAAGTTTTATATACAGAAGGGTTTGAAAAAGCAGCAATTTAATAAAGAAATAGGATTGGTTTTCCTGAAAGCAAGAAATCTCGCAATTTGTCCAACTTCCCAGCATGGAGCCCTCATCTTCACCAATTCCAAATATGTCTCCTGACAATAAGAAAAAGAAAACAATATTTTTTTAAAAAAATCAATAATGTAATAAAAAAGAACCCAAAGGAAAATAAATGATTACTTTATGGCCAGTATTAAGGTAATTATTGAATATTATTGTTATATTATTTCTTAACATTTCTCTCATACTTCAAATTCGTATTCTGTAATATTTTTTTCTTCAGTGGCGCCATAAAAATCACTGTTACCGTGCAAGATAAGTTGTACTTTGTATAGTTACATACAAGGCACTCTCGCGGTGATTTGGGGGCAGGTCCCACTAAATGTTCACAATTTATTTAGAGCACTGGTCTCCCATCTTATGGGGGAGGGATTGGAGGCTCTGAGCCTTACGTAATTTGATGGAGGTTCCAAAGCCTGCACAAGCGAGGTGGCCTTTATCACTCTGCCATCCGGGTCCTCGTCCAGCTAGAAACTCGTGACACGGCGAAGGCAGAAATGACAAGGGAACGGAGAGCAGCGTCAGGCAGCTGGTGGAGTCAGTGCTTGGCTGGGCACAATGAAATCAGCTCCACGTTGAGAAAGCCGAGCTCTTCAGCAGCAGCAATCACAGTAATACCCTTTATTCCTTTGCACTGAGACCTTTTACAAGTCCCTTCTTCCACGCTTCTTGTGCAGTAAGTAAGGCACGTTTCCAAAAAGCTGGGAAATGCAGGCCCAAGAAGTGGCGGAGCGGCAGTTCCCCCGGCCGCTTGTTCCTTCCACTCGTGCAGTTTCCACGCTGCAAGGGGCCGCTCTATTTGAGCCACCACGTTAGGGACAGGAGGTGCCCACACACAAGCAAAGAGCAGGGGGTGAACAGACCGGACTCTGTGAATCCCGTATTCCACCTGGAAAGACAGAGAGAGGGGGAAAGCCTAGCTAGGACCCTCAAGGCGGAGATGGACAAAGGAGTCTGACGATGAAAGAGGACAATTCCCACCAGACAGCTGGTGACACCTTGTCTAGCCTCACAGCCCTGAAACCCCGGCCCAGGGCTGTCAGAGGAAGCTTCTGGACGAGCAAAGCCCTCCTCCTGCCTGGCCTACACCCGCCTTCTGCAGACGAGGTCTCCATGCTGAGCACGTGCATGTGAGGGAGGCCGAGAGCCCCTCTCGGGAGGAAGGTGCAGCTGGGAAGGGCCCAGCCCAGCAGCGAGACCTCCACCTGGTGTGGCTCCAAACTGACCCCAAAATACGGGCAGTCGCGCTCACCCCATTAACTGAGTGAAGAGCACGCAGCCGCCTGCGTCCCTCCCTGATGCCAGAGTTACGGTAACCCCCGTGGACTTGCTCCCCTTTTCCCAGCAGCCTGGGTCACGTGACTGATGCCATGTGTTTTGTCCTCCTTCAGGGGCCCATCAGTGAGCAGAATTTTGAAGCGTATGTCAACACGCTCACAGACATGTACAGCAATCTGGAGCGGGACTATTCCCCGGAATGCAAGGCTCTGCTGGAGAGCATCAAGCAGGCGGTGAAGGGCATCCACGTGTAGGAGCACAGCGCCACGGGCTGCAGACTCTCCACCGGCAGCCGCGTGTATGGATCTGGAGGGCCCCCGGCCGCTAAGGCAGGCAGGCGCCGTACTGCATCTACAATTGCAACATTGCACTAATTTCCCCCCCACCCCAGCTAACGTGAAAAGGAAAGAAAAACTATGATAGACTCTTTGGATGAAAAGCAATGCAGTCAAATATTAGATCTTATTTATTTTCATATGCTTTCCTTTTATTTCTTCATTGCACTCTTTTGGGTTCTTTTTGTACAGTATATGTAAAATAAACATGACATTTTTATATTTTATTTATTTCTAATCAAAGAGTTTTTTTATCTTTTAATTGCATTTTGAAGTCTGCCATATTTTTACAAGTGTGTTTATTAATTTATTTTCCAGTAGAATTTAAATAGAAATGCTCTTCTCAAATCACATACCTTGCTGGGTTTAAAGGAGAAGACAGACAAGAATGAAGGAAATCCTTGTCTACGGACTGCACTGTGGTCCGGTTTGACTTTTATTGCACACTTCTACCCCAACCCCTGTCCCACCTTCACTGGCTTTGTGTTTATAAACAGGCTTAGGTAAGGTGCGCAGGAGGGACAGCAAGATAAAAGGCGCCCACTCGTGGGATGTGCGCCCTCACAGAAGCACAGTAGACTGGAAAACAGCCTGTTCCAAATCTGTTAGCAATAATTAAACATAGCAATCAGCAAAGTGTTCGACTTGGCTGTACGGTTTCAATTCATATTAATTATTTATTTGAAATGGTTTAAAGAAACAAGCTTTTTTAGTGATGCAGGTTTGTCCATTTGTTTTTCAAGTCACACCAGACAGTGGGCAGCTCTGACCCTGAGATGAGAAGTAAGGCTTGATGTGACCAGCCAGGCTTTCCTGCCACACGTTGTCACAATATACAAGGGACGATATTGATGTAGATTTGTACTTAGCAAATGTAAACGCATCCAAATGGAAAACTGTGTAGATACCATATCCCCTGAAATAGCATTTATCTTACTGGGTTGACTGGGAAGAAATGGAAAATATAATCACACATGCAAAAATGGTACCCAGATCTGAGTCGTTGCTTGAAACACTGGCGACATTGTCTCAGCCTCCTTAGGCAGCCAGACAGCTTTCAGTTTGACAGAAGTCTTTCTGCAGAACAACAAGTGCTACAAAGCACACACACTCACAACCCCCAGACAGACACACTCACAGACACGAAATTGAGCCCACAATCTCGCATTTCTGGGTGGATCAGAGTTTAGTAGTTGCTATAGGAAAGGCAATGTCTATTTCAGGGATTGTAAAGTAGTTAAGCATTGTTTCAAAAGTTTTTTTATATTTATTTTTTTTAAGAAAAAGGTATAGACAACCAGCTAAACTGCCTTTTTGCTGTGCACACACCCCGGGTGTGCAACGTGCCTCTGTGTAAATGGGCTTGATTTCTGTGCTGTAACGAAGTGTTTATTTTTCTTAGCCTCCTGGGTGTGTAGACTGAATGCGATGGCGCTCGCAGGCTTGATGTTTTCCACTGTTATTACTGTTACTGCACAAACTACAGCACCGTCCACGGTGATTTCACCCCATGATACTGGTCATTGTTCTGTATTAAGTGGGGCTTATCTTTGGCTTGGGGTTCATTTGAACCCTGACTCTTAGTCTAGTGAAAATGAGATGTCTGTTCTTAGGTAGGAACGGTGGGTATTTAAAAATCAACTTTAAAAAGAAAAGAGCTACCATGTGTGCTATCTATTATAAACGGGACACCAAACAAAATTTTCTATTAAAGTTATGTACTTGCAAACATTTTGCTATACAGTCCCTGATAGATGCACACAGATGAGTTCACTTATTACAAAGACAAAAGTTTAATTTGCTAAATATTTTAACAAGTTTGTTATATATTTTATTTAATTTAAAAGAAACCTCTTACCGACCTATGTATTTATTATTATAATTTACTGTGACTTCGTTGATTTGTGTCTGCGTAGTTTGAACGGGACGTTTCTGTGAAGGATGTTTGTATTTATTTGCCTCCTTTGTACTTGATCTGTTTTGTAATGTGCACTGAATTTTTTTTCCTTTCCACTATGTTAATGATCGATACTGTAAATTGGGTCTTTTGTAAACAACAAAAAGGCAATGATGTGCGCATTTTTTTTAATTTGAAGTAGTTTATACACTGTTTCTTCAAACAATTAATATTTCTTACATCAAAGCAACCGACTGTGTTCAGTGCTGTACATTTGGTGTATGGTAGGAAATAAAAATTGATAAGAGTTTTGCTGTGGTCTTTCTTGAGCTACTAGAGGCACTTGTGGCCATCCCATGGTAAGCACTGTGCCCTCCCCTCAAGGAGCTCAGCGTGGGGAGTGCACAGCTGAGCCTGTGAGTCGCTCTGATGCTCTGGGGTCTGCCAGTCTGCTTGGCTTATTTTTTCACCCCAAGTGGACAGGACTTTTGCCAGTTGGTAGCTGCCCCAGCCTGGGGTTCAGTAAATACACGTGCAAAGCAGCAGATGCCTCTGAGATCAGGAAACCTTTGCTTGTGCCAGCAGGAAATTCACCTGCATCTAGTGAGCAGTAAAATAGAGGCCCCACCCTCCTGATGCTGACATCACTTTGGGTGCTGAGTATATCCGTGCATTCCTGTAAGCCAGTTGAACACAGGTTCAAGGAAAATAATCAGTTGTGGGGTTTTTAATGTTTATTTGTTTATTTGGTTGTGCTGGGTCTTAGTTGCGGAAGGCGGGCTCCTTAGTTGTGGCTCACCAGCTCCTTAGTTGCAGCATGTGAACTCTTAGTTGCGGCTTGCATGTGAGATCTAGTTCCCTGACCAGGGATGGAACCTGGGCCCCCTGTATCAGGCGTGTGGAGTCTTACCCCCTGCGCCACCAGGGAAGCCCCAGAAAATAATCAATTCTTGACAGCACCTGTTTGGCTTGCATGTTTTTCCCGTCTCATTTCAAACAGATTAATTTAATTTTCCCGTTTCTGCTCAGTTTTACACATCTCTAGGCCTGGTTGCCGTTTATACTCAATGTGGTTAAAAAAGAGGGAAAAAAAATCCATGTCATCATTGTGATAAAGTAAACTTGAGTGAAGGGGAGTCTGGGTCCCCAGAGGAAAGCCAGGGTACTTGGGTAGACCTCTGAGTCACAGGGGTTGGTGCACAGGGGTTAATGCACAGTATATATAGCTTGCTTTTAATCACCAAGTTTATGTGTGTAAGATGTGCCTATGATCCATCCTGTAAATGGGTCACAGGTCGCAAGTCTGCTCAGTGGTTCTTAGCGCCCCTCCTTGCAGAGAATGCGCATCTCGCCCTGCCTGGGATTTTACATCAGTGAGCAGTGTCTGCATCCCTGTCCCTCGACGTGGCAGAAGAGGAGAACTGGTCCTACGGAATTAAGACGAGAACAGTAAGAGTCCTATGTTCATACGACAGATGTTTTATCAGAAGGCGTGAGTGCCAGGCCCTCCCCCATGGGGGTTCAGCCTGGTGGGGGAGGAGAAATGAGTGATGGGTGCGCAGGCTCCCGCGGAGACACTGTGCAGGGTACCACCTGCCTCTGACTTCCTGGGAAAAGGGCTGGTTACAGATGAGCTGGCAAGTCGGGAGAAAGGCATTGCACAGCGCGAACAGCACCTACAGAAGGTGACGGTGAGACAGTCATCCACGGAGCAGGTAATTAAAATATCCAAAAGTTAGTGAGAAGTGAGGCGAAAAGCCCAGGTAGGTAGGAAAGGGAGTCATATTATAAACATCCAAGGTAAAGAACTGTAATTTCCACACGCAGACCCCAGAATACCAAAGAAAGATCTAAAACCAAAGAATGCCAAGATCGGGTTTCCATTAGAGACAATTTATTCCATCAATTCAAACAATTACTATTTCCTACCTGAAGGCAACAAAATTGTGCTCAGTGCTGTACCTCTGATACTTGATAGGAAATAAAAATTGATAATGGGTTTTGCTGTGATCAGTTTCAGGCTGCTGTATGGAAACCCCTGTCACCAGCCCATGAAAGGCCCTAGAACCTTAGACACAGAAGTAGAGCCTTAGACACTTCTACTGGAAGCACGTTTTGAGTGAAAAGAAGAGGGTAAATGATTCCTTGATTTGCCTCCCTAGAAAAAGTTTTAAAAATTAACTTGCCGTGGTGCATAAATATTTTACTAATCTTCTTAAAACTCATGTTTTCTACATCTCTTTCCACACATTACATCCATTGTATTGTGGTCTGGGAATAGTACCCTGCTATTTCCTCTCTTTATTTAGCAGCTAATTACAAAGCAAGCAGATTTAATTGGCTAATCGCTGCACTGTCACACCCCATCAACGATGCCTGGATGCTTCAGCTCCTGAAATCCTCAAACACGTTTATGCGGTAAATATCATATCAGTGATACTGATGGAGAAACTGCTGCTCAGAAAAGTTAGTAAGCTGCCCAACACCAGAAAACTGGGAAAAGGCACAGCCAGATTGAACACTTGCCACTGGTTTTAAGATCTAACCCATGGGGATCTGTCTACTCACCTGTTAGATGCTGTCTCACCTGGAAGAAAGAAAACAAGAATTAGTCAAGATTAAGATATCTGTTATGGGAAGAAAATCCAAAAAAGAGGGGATATATGTATACATACAGCTAATTCACTTGCTGTGCAGTAGAAACTAACACAACATTGTAAAGCAAATATACTCCAATAAAAATTAAAAACAAAAAAGATATCTGTTGATCTTCACTCATTTCTATTAGGTCTAAAACTAAGAATGGAATTTTAGGGCCAGCTATAGTAAATACTGCTATGCAGTTTTCCAAAGTTGAATGTAAAAAAAAAAAAAAAAAAAAAGATATTTGTTGGGCCCAGACATGTGGAATATCCCTAAATCTTGATGTGACAACAGTACATCCTGGTGTCCTGAGCTCCTGAATCTCTTAGCTTCCCAGATACAACACGACGGAGTGTTTCCACCAGCATCGTGAGACTTGGAGAGTGAAGAATTTGCCTGACGCCCCAGAGATAAGTCCAAGGTCAGGATTCAACCCGGTTCTGACCCCCCGAGAAGCTCCTGTCCCTTCTGCAGGCCACCAGCACCGTCTAGCCAACCCCCAACTCCCCGGCCAACATCCCAACCTGCCTCAGGTTACAGCCCGCGGGCAGGAGGGGCCAGTTCAATCACCAATCTGGATAAAGTTGTTCAAAGAAGCATCACTTTCACATTTTAGCCACACTGTTATGATGTGTTTTTCTTGTACCGGCACGTCATGCAAA